TACCAGACATGGATGCGGGGGGGGGGGTGGAACTCAGGTCCTCTGCAAGAGCAGCAAGTGCTCTTAACCACTGAGTAATCTCTCCAGCCCCATTACATTTTTTTTAAAATCAAACTTTATACTGAGGATAAAGGTACTATTACAAGGCATTAGTGGTAAGTAATCTAGAAGATTCTAAAGCCAGATATGTATGGCGTGACCTCAGAAATGTATGTGCATATGAATGTTTGGAAAGGCAAGGTATTTCAAAAACAGTGTCAGCTCCATCTAAATGATCTCACTTGACCAGGACACTGGTGAAACGTGTTAGACGTTTCCTGGTGACAGTTTCTTGGTTGCTGCTATGCAGGGCAGACTGTCTGCTGTTGAATTTTCCAGGTAGCCAAGGTGTGCTCATTTATCTGTGGCTGCCTCCAAGCGCAGGGGAAATTTAGTGATCCCGAGGCGCTCACATTCTTTTATAAAGCAATTTTGTTCTTACCTCCCCATCAGTAGAGTTGGCTCAGTGGGTTTTAAATATTTATTTTCAATAAAGAGTCACAGACTGTTTCTCAGACAAAGACTTGGACATTTTCTTATGCTTCTATTTCATTATCATGTAAAGCAGAAACACAAGCTCTACATCTGGAAAGGGACCCAAAGTGTGTCCCCAGGGTTCTCTACTTAAAAATCTGGAAGCCAAGGAACACTATCCCTCATCTCAACAAGGGAAAGAGAAATAAAGACTGTTGTAGGAAGACTTTCAGAGAGAAATGTACTACTTATCTTCCATCACTGATTAGACCTTTGTTAAAACTCATTTTGTTCTGGTTTTTGGTTTAAGTTTTCTATAACCTTTAAAAATAAAATGCCCCTGTAAATTTTGCTGTTGCTGATGGACAGACACCCCACTGGACTTAACTTTCCTGTGAGGATGGAGATAAGGATTTCCCATGGAAGTCCCTCTTCTTGGCTCTTTTAGGGAAGGGAAATTTCATTTGTATTGCCTAAGCTGGCTCTACAATTCCTAAAGAAAAATGCATAAATCCGCTCCTCTAGACTATGTAAGTAGTTTAACCAAGACAAGCAGTATACACAGCATATGCAAAGAATCTATAGGAATGAAATAAAGAAAACTCAGCCCCAAAATTTCATTTATAACTCTACACTTTTTCCAGCATTTAATAGATTGGGTAGAGAGTGACCTTGTGAGGTAAGACAGGATCTAAAAGATTTCTGGAGAATATCAATGATGGACATAAAATGAAAACAAAAAGTGAGATGTGATAAACTGAAGAAAATCTGAATTTAAACCGACTCAAAGTGGGAGTTATTAAAATAAAGGAAACATGCTAAGTCAGTGATATTTACAGGTATAGAATATTCTCATCATATTGAGGAATGCTAATTTTAGAGAACATGTTCTGTATCATCAGAAGTTACTGAAACATTCCATTAAAGATGTGTGGATGAGATGATCCACTGTGCTTAACGTTTTATGTACAATTAACACCTGTGTCTCAAATTCCAGTGGGAAAACAGACTGACAGAGTGTTGACATGGCTTGGGAACCTCCATAGCTGTAAGCCCAAACTAACCTTTCCTTCCTAAATCTTATTGTCTCAGGCACTTGGTACTGACCTGGACAACTGATCAATAAGGGTACTGAGGCCACATATGCCTACTCTCATAGTTTAGATTAATAACCAGCCATTCTCCAGAAATAACTGACTCACTGAACTACATTTAAAACTATTTAACAGGGACTGGAGAGATGGCTCAGTGGTTTAGAAGCATTGGCTGCTTTTGCAGAGGTTCCAGGTTCAATTCCCAGCACCCACATAGTGGTGAACAGCCATCCATAACTCCAATTCCAGGGGATCCAATGCCCTTTTCTGACTTTCATGGGCACTGCATACACAGGTGCACTAACACACATGCAGGCAATATACTCATACACATAAAAAATGTAATAAAGATTTAAAGTTACTCTTTTCTCTTTATGAATAATAAGTATTTTGCGACTGCACTTTGAAACTATAAAAATATTTTTTAAAAAACTATCTTGAAATGCATTGGGAAACCATCTATTTATATATTTTTAATTATTCTATAGTTAAAATATAGC